TGGTCAATGTAAATGTAATTGGTCAGTAATCTTCAACCTTTAACCTTTATTTTTCTTTTAATATATGGATAGCAATTATTTTGCTAGTTTAACAAACATGCTTTGGTATTTTGTAGCAATAAATATTTAATATATTTCAAAGTTGAATGAACTAATATTAAATAATTAGAATAAAATTCAATAAAAGAGTTGAATGAACTAATATTAAATAATTAGCTGAAAATTCTATAAAATCCATTAAAAACACACACAGTCTTAAATTTAGTCTAAATTAAGCTGTCACTTGGTTGAGCTTGACAAATACAGTCAGCACAACCATTTGTATTCATAATTATTGAAAACATATTGATGTGAGACAATAAGGGTGAGGGCAGATTTTGATGGGTTGAAAACTAATTCTATTTCTCATGCTAATGTTTTTTTTTTTTTTGTATTATTATTTTATATCTAAAAATCTAATAGTTCACATTATTGTGTATCTAAATGTACACCCTATTTGTGGAAAGTGCCAGCAGTGCATGGATCTTTCCCATCATTTGTTCTGTGTAAATTGACATTTCTTCTTCTTGTAATGGTCCATTACTTCGTGGTACTCTGTGTATTGTGTTCATAACACTGAATAATTTCAGCATACTCTGTGAAAGCAAACCTTATTTGTTTTGATTCACGGAACCCAATTCCACTCAATTGTCCAGCTTTGCTTTATTGTCATTTTGTCCTTACTCTCCAGGATGACAATCTTCTTTATTTTCTTCTCTTCACCAAAGATCACGGTGTGCTCCGAAAACAGTAGTATCAGACATTATGAATTTTTATTGATTTTGTCAAGGTAGCAACCTGAGCAGTACATGCTTTACCTCTTAGATAATTGGATAATGCTGAGAAACTCATGCTGTGAGACAGATGGTACCGTGTCAGAAAGCAAAGTGACAAAAAGAAAAGAGGACTAAAAGTGAGCAGATATGTCTGAGCTTTTCTGACTTTAATCTGAGTGCAAGAGATGATCCTGTTGGACATGCAGATGAGCATTTCTGTCGGTAGAAAGAGAAACAGAGTTAACTGGAGTGAGACGTGTCAGTTTTATCTTTTGCCTGCTATATCTTCTCTATGGCATTCTGATATCACCACAGCCAGAAGGTAACGAAGCAAATGACTAAGCAAAGCAATAATAAAAAAATTAGTCACCCGCTTTATGATAGCTTATGAAATATTAGTATGATAGTACTTGACAAGCAAATAATGCCCTCTTGTTTTCTATGTTTATGTGGAGCTTTTTAATTGAGAAAAGAGCAAGATGCCTCAGATATTTTCTGTTAATTAAGCAAAGAGACTTGATTAACTAATTGATGATTTTCTATTGACTACTTTGATGTTTTCCAAAATGGTTATTTAATGTTTTGTAGGGTAATTAACATGTAGCACAGTCCATTAAGCCTTATTCAACAATTAATTAGAAATCTTTCTAAATGGCTGCAGAGACAGAGATATTCCTGCAGTAACATATGAAGATCATTTAAGGCACATTATAGAACAAATTCCAGAATAGAACGGTTGCGAGTGTGATATTTTATTTCATGTCTGTCTGAATACTGGATTCTGATTGGCTGGCAGGTATGCAGTAAAACCATTTAATGCGCAGGTAGTTCCAAGTCAGTTTAATCGCTGTTCCATATTAATGCGCTGCTTTAATTGATGCACACAACAAGTAATTGAATTATTCACTCAACCGAATCATTCAAAAAATAATGGTTCATTCAGGAACACTAGTACAGAAACACAAAAAAAGGTTTGATTCTGCTGTGGCTTTGTTTGAAATTATTTTAGCCGGTAAGCAAAAGGTAACTGGTAATATTGTGTACTCAAGGCTTCCGGTGTAATCTGCTTTTAGTTATTTTAGCTGTACACAAATAGCCCGTTATTCTACTTGATATTGCAAACTGGTATTTCTTATAATATTCATAAACACTGTTTTGTAGCGCAAATAGTTTTACTGCACTTTGTTATTCTGCTAGTTACAGCTAGTGATTCAGAAACATTGCACATTCACAAAAAGCATCTTGTTCCCATGTTGCGAAATAAGGTGAATGGGGGGTTATTTTGGACACGTGTAAAAAAATCAGTAGAACTGAACGATTCAGTGACTCACTTGTCATCTAATGTGCAATCACAGATGCTTATCTTATCCTTGCAGGCTTTTCATTTCCCATAAGAGTGTAACTGTTGTGTAGCTAGTTAGTTTTGTCTGTGATATTAATCAATACAATTCAATGCACATCAGGACAGAAATGCTGTTATGGCTGTCTAACTGCAGCATTCGTCTTCAGCTCACCCATCTGTGGCTCTCAGACAAATGGGAGCTGATATTCCATCAAACTGACCCTCGTGCACAAACAGAGCATCTCGCTGTGAGTTAACCACTTTATGAACAACTCCACAGATACCACGTTCGCTTTAGAGCATGACCTCTAAATGTCTTGCGGAAAGACTCTTGTCTCCGTCTCTCGCGTCTCCCCCGCCTCTTTCTCTTTCTTCATGGGTTTACTATTGACAGAAAAGCTGAGAGTATCCAGGTAGCGTTTTCAACCCCGTCTCTCCACATACTCTCCCATTTATGGCCATATAAAGTTCAATTCTGTTATTTTGTGATTTAGTGTCTCTGCTGGCCCTGCGTGCAGTGCTCTCAGTGGACCCGCTCATCTTGTTCTCATCCAGTCATTCGTTTTCCTGCGCACCGTGATTGGGTTATATCGAAATATTCATTCATCACACGGAACGACCTTTATTCCACTATCAATCAGAGGGTGTCGCGCGGGTAAAGGCTCTCCTCAGTGGCCCTCCCCCTCTAGCACTTCCACACAGCACAAACAGCCTGATAATGTTGTGTTGCCTGCCATCCTCTCTTATTACTGCCTCCCAACTCAGATTTATCATCTTCCCCTCCCCTTAAAATCTGTAAAAATAACCTCCGCTTTGCGAGTGTGGTTCTTTATCATCCTTTACTTTTAGGCCTCCTTCTTTTATAGTGGCCTTTAATGGGCTTCACTGATGTGCGTGCGTGAGAGAGAGTGTATTGTACTAATGTTTATGATTATGACAGAGTTATAAAGGAAAATATTCTCCTTGACAGCCCCTTTTATCCAGAAAAGCTTTTGTTGCCATGGAAACACATTTTTGTAGCTCAGAGCGCAATGATTGATATTTTTTTAGTGATGAACAAAACAAAAAATATATCAAAATTATCTCTGATAGGAAAAAAATGCTTTGTAAACTGCCACTAGACACTATTGCAGGTTCAAAATATTTGTTTGTTATGTGTTTTCCAATAGATGGGAATCAATATTTTAGTGCAGATATTACCTGCCTCTGACAAATGGATGGAAGGGGCAAAAGCGACAGGTAAACAGGTCCATTATGGATATAATGGAATCAAATAACAAACATGATTCATTCTCATTTTTAAAAAAAAAGGAATGACAATATTTACCCCTCCCTTCGGCATTCAGGGTTGAATCTAATGTGTAGGCTATTCGATGAAATCTATTCCATTTCCGTGTGGCTAACTCTGTTCAGCTAGCAGAAATACCTCTGAAAACATGCCAGTGCCCAATCTACCCATTCAGTTTTGAACAGGCCTCCTATCAATTATAAAATGTCAGCGCATAAATTCTCCCTGATTTAAAATAAAACATGAGTGGAAGGCCATCTGATTGACTAACAAGAAGCAATTTGTACTCCGCTGTTTCCCCCAGTGAATAGATTGCATGTGGAGAGAGCAAATCCGATTACTCCGAGTCTGTGTGTGTAATTTGAGTACAGGCCTGGATGTGATTCTTTCTATTGGGTTCAGTTTTATTTATTTATTTATTTAGGCTAAATATATTAGTAATGTGTCGTGCCTCTCTGCATTCCCAACAGATGAATTTGAGTAACATATTTTTCCATGTTATACAAACTACAAATAATAATAACAATTAATATATTTATTAATACAGACATTAATATAATATACAGTATATAATTCATTGTAAATAATGTGTATGCAATTAATATGTGTATTTGTGTATGTGTACAGCTATAAATAATGTATGCCATAATTAATTGTTAATAAACTTAATAAATAAACTAAGCATTTACAAGCAAGTTAATTACATATTAAAGGGGTCATATGAAGTTGCTAAAAATAACATTATTTTGTGTATTTGGTGTAATGAAATGTGTTTATGTGGTTTAAGGTTCAAAAAACACATTATTTTCCACATACTGTACATTATTGTTTCTCCTCTATGGAAAAATTTAAATCGCATCATATGACCCCTTTAACATTAGGCTACATGATGTTTGTTTCCATTAATTTGGTGTTTAAGTAATAGCAGCACTATAACAAGAACCCTTAAAATGTGCCCTTTTTAAGCTTTAAGTTATGATATCAGAAATATTTTTGTATAAACAAGTTCAAAATCGTTTTAATATCGCCCTTCTTTGGTTAGCCATGACCTTCGCTCAGGTACGGCGCACGCATTCAGCTCACGCCCGCAGAGCGCGCTTGTGTCAGGAGTTCTGCAGCGCGAGAGCAGCGTCTCGGTAATTATTAGTCACTGTTAATATTCATTTAACGGACAGGGGCTGTAATTATAAACTCGTGTTCCGTCTTATTAGCAGCTAATTTGTAGTTTACGCAGCGCCTATTGATGATACGCATGGGTTTGTTGAGAGAGTTAAAGCTCGGCTGTTTTTAGAAGAGGTTTTCCTTCAGCTCATGTCAGATACTCAAAGGTTGCAAGAGATTGCTGCAAACCTAATAACAACACACAAAAGGGATTTAAGGAATTATCTTATGGTAGTTTTAGGCACATGCTAATGGATAATTACTAATTTTGCTCTTGAAAACCTAAGGAGAATCTCTGAAGAATCTTCATGTAATTTGTACAGTATTTCACATATAGCAGCACTATGCCATATGTAACAATAATGTTACCAAAACAGGACAAAGAAAACTTAAATGTTATCGTTTGTTTATTAAATGTTCGATTTCCACATTTACCATCTCCATTATTAAATGGCTAGCTTCGTTTCAGTAGCCTATATAAAATGAACAATTCCCATTTGCTATATATTGCATAGATATTTGGTGCTGGATGGAGTACTTACATCTGAGATAGTGCCGCATTACTGATAAAAGATTTATTAAATTGTGATAATAAAAGCCATTATATTGCTATTACACCCACATTAAAACAAGCCACATCGTTAACTTTGATTAGACCGCAGTGAAGTTTGTGCTCTAACATAGCCATGGAAGTAAATTGCGAGTAATTACTGCATTAAAAAGCTGCTTAGAAGACAGTTTTAACTTAATTTGTGATTTTCAGCTGGTTATTGGCCTGGCAAATCCCACAGGTCAGATTCTGGCTGAATCCAGTCTTCTCCCATGATGCTTTGCAGAGTGAAGTCTTGAAAATACTCAAGTCGATGACTGTTCAGATGAGAGAAGAAATGTTACGATCCTGGTGATGTTAAGACCCATTAAAAGGAAACAAATCATTTTAAGATATCTAAACTTACAAGTCTGGTCCCTGTCCTTCTACTAGATCTTCTCTAGGAACAGGATACAGAGCCTCATAGGTCCTTCCAGCTCCAGAGCCATGGATGGCATAGGAATTCATCTTATTAATGCCCTGAGGGAAATACCTCCAAGGTAGAAGTGCTTCTCCCTTCCATGTCTTGTTCTTTATATTGGCTTTGAATGATAGAGGGAGTTGTTGCTGTAACAGGTTATAGCATAAACATTATTACAAAATAATAAGCTAATGGTCAAGATTAGCATAAGAACATTTTATATCACCGCATTTTTTATCTCCTGTACTATTACATTAAGCATTCCTGCATTTTAATGTTTAGACAATTGCTGTTATAAACTGTACTTGATCAAATGTGACAGTAAAGGCACTGTTAAATGTATCACGATTTCAGAAATGACAGAAATATTAAGCAGCACAACTGTCTTCAACATCTATAATAATGATCAATGTTTCTTGACCACCAAATCAGCAAATTAATTGATTGAAAATGATTTCTAAAGGATCGTGTGACACTGAAGACATTTACATTTACATTTAGTCATTTAGCAGACGCTTTTATCCAAAGCGACTTACAAATGAGGACAATAAAATCAGTCAAAACTAACAAAAGAGCAACAATATATAAGTGCAAATGACAAGTCTTGGTTAGCCTAACGCAGTACACGTAGCAAGGTGTGTATATATATATATATATATATAATACACACACACACATATACACACACAAAGAAAAAAGTAGATAGAATAGAAAAAATAGAAAGCTAGTGTTTGTTTGTTTTTTGCTGTCTGAGAAATTCAGCTTATCATCAATCACAACTCTAAGGTTTCTAGCTGTTTTTGAAGAATTTATGGTTGATGAGCCTAACTGGATGGTGACATTTTGATAAAGTGATGGGTTTTAATAAATCTGCAAAAATGTCAACGATTCTGTGTTTTTCTGTCAATATGGGGTGCTGTGTGTACATTAATGAGGAAAAAAAATTAACTTAAATGATTTTAGCAAATGACTGCAATATAACAAAGAGTGAAAAATTTAAGGGGGTCTGAATACTTTCCGTAGCCACTGTATATATATACAGTATATATACAGTATATATATTATACACACACACACACACACACACACACACACAAAGAAAAACAAGTAGATAGAAACAATAGAATAGAAAAATATAGATAATTGTTTTTTTTGTTTTTTAAATAAAAAAAGAAGATAAATATAGATAAAGAAGAATTAAAATAGAATAGAAAGTGCTAGAGTTAGAGGGGCAAATAAAGGGGGAACAGTTGTGTTTTTAGTCGTTTCCTGAAGATGGTTAAGGACTCAGCTGCTC